TCATGCAAATTAATGCATGTGATTGAAGTACAAGAACTGATAACTTCCTATTTTTTCAAGTAATGCTATCAAAATCTCCACTCTACAATTGATGATGGCACAGCAAAGAAAAGTCTGAGACAGTTGGATCTGGAAATTTTATGGCAAAATACCATTTTATACACCAGGACCTGTCCTTCTTTACATGGTATGTGTTTTAAAGAATGACCAAATGCTTGAAATAGCTCCCTAGTGAATCACAGTGTACAAAAGTGATTCAGAGATGATGAGTCTCTAAATTTGGCTGGGCCAGAAGTTCATTGTTGCACTGTGCACCCACCCACGTCTTACATTCTCCCAGTACTGCCAAAGGTAAAAACTAGCTTTTAGTAACTTATGCTTAATAATTTCTTCCTCAAGTTCTCATGAGTTTGTGTTCACTTCATGCTAGAGTAACTTCCTTTAGAAGGCACTTCTTACAGAAATGCCTCAAATACCACCATGTCTGAGTTACAAGTCTGAGAAAAAAGCAAGTTAACCCCCCAAATCGTTGTCTCTCATAAAAGTTCAGACACTTGCTACAATTTAGGAGCTAAAACATCCAAGGAGTTCATCCTTACAAAGCACGGTCCATTTTCTCCAAGCACTTTATACACACCCTGAGGCAAGTAAGTTAGATCAAGCAATAGCAGCAGACCCTAAATTTCTCTGTAATCAGTGTGTTTACTGTGGGACTGGAGCAGGATGCAGCTTGCTTTCTCAGGTACCCTCACCAACTCCATCTCTCCACCCTAACTGCTACCACAAGAGGCTGAAGAATATTAACACCACCAGTTGGACACGCCTACTCCTTACAGAAGAACAACAACTGTTATCAGTCACCAATTTACTTTAAGAAACCAAGACCTGAGCGGTTATTCTACTAGTTCTGCTGCTCTATGACATGGAGAAGATAACTTACTTTTTAAGCTTGGAAGAATATGCTTTAAGGTAAGACTGAATACCACCACTCTTAAAAAAAAAAAAAAAAGTGGAAAAAAGCAAGGTTGCAAACCTTCTCTTGACACACTGCAGTGGATGTACACTGTGAGAGATTAGTAATCCATGTCTGAGAAAGCTTAAAGCCTGAAGTGCTAGTCAAGCCCACTCTGAAGGGTAGTCTTGATGTCTTAAGGTATTAAGTATAGTAGACCATCTCCCAGGCTTACAGTACTGCTCACACCAACTGCCCCTCCAGCTGAAGCTGGGGAAATGCAATGCCTTCATGCCCCCTCCCTTCCTCCTCTCTCTGCTCCCCATCCTCAACAGAGTACAGAAATAAAATGGTGCAGAGTCATTAGTAGCTGAGCAACTCCTTTAAAACGAAGTAAAATTCTTGGAAAAAGAAAAATTTTGATTTGATGCCAGAAAACTAGTTCCTGACTAAATTTGTTACTATATGACTATACATCTCCCTTGCCAACCTCAGGCACTCCGAGACATTCGACAACCATAAACCACTAGTAAGTGCAGTAGGCAAGAGCAAAGGGATCAATATTCAGGACCTAAAACCCAAGTGAGTTTTTTCAAGAAAAGGCAGTTTTCTCCACTACCTAAGGGCCATGGCATCACCCCAAAGCACCACCTGCAACACAGCCAATACCTCCTCACTGGCCAGGTTCTCAGCTTTGCTATTTCTGCAGCTGCACTGATGCCAATAAAGGCTGTAATCATGCTGACTGAAATCCTTCTTTTGAACTGTTGCCATACTCCATTAAATAACTTAAGACCAATATGTTTTTATCAGAGAGCTGATCTTACATTTGATCCTTGTGCAAAATAATCCTGAGGGGCATTGCTTTAGCACAGCCAAAACATCTTTTCTGAAGCGAAGCTCAATCCAGAAAACTAACTTTCCAGAAGCAGTAAGTTACTAAGAGAAAAAGATGATCCAGCATTTAACAGCCTTAGCATCGTGCCAGGATATCAACTGCTTCTCAGATCTCCTCCTGTTAGTTTAGGACTGAAGTGCCATAGGAACACAGCACACAGCTCTGCACTAACAGCTGCAGAAGGAAGCAATTGCATGGGGCGAATTCTGAACTGTCACCTATTCCTTCCTCATTCCACCTTTCCCCAGCCCTAAAATACACTAAAAGACAACCATCATCCTGTAAGTGAGATGCATTCATACAGATCTCCCCCATATATCAAATGGGAAAATAATTATAGAAGGAAAGATTCAAAAAAAAAAAAAGAAAAAGAGGGAAGTGGTTAAAAATTTTGCTGTAGATAAAAGCTTCTCTTTTCAATTGTATTTCAGGTTTGGACTAAGGGTCTTCAGTACTGTTGAGTAAGACTATCTGCTTCATTAGATTCTAAATTACTTTTTATATTAAGATGAAGTAAGTATTTGGGAAACCATGCTGGAAAGTTGTTTGAAGTGACACTTCCACCATCTAGGTACAATAAAATCCTGGCAGTCAAGTCAATTACTTATTCTTGCAACTCTACAGTTAACTCTATTAGTGCAAATCTCATCGCTAAGAACTACCAACATCAATTCTACAAATTTATTTTATGAAAGCTGTGCCTTCCAATTCACACTCTGCTATGGAATCAAAAACATCCCATACCTAAAAACACTAATAGTCAAGTCATTTATCTGACACCTCAGTCATAGAGGGCTGCTGAGACAGGTAATGTGTTCCCTTTCACTCACAAAAATAGCAGAGCAGCCTACTCTGCCATGCAAGAAAGTGAGAGTTCATGGAAGAAAAGATTCAAAAAATACTTACTCATTCCAGAACTGAATCCACTGAGGCCATGTCAAACAAAACTGAAGTTCTTAAAAAATCTCATTGCAGTAGCTGAAAAGAAAAATCTGAACCAATTCTTTGAAGCAGAAAAACAAAAGCAAAACTAGATACGTGCACCTGGGAGGAAATAATCACAGAGGTCCTTTCTAGACTTTTCTGTCTCTTTAATATCCCAATCTCCTTACTTCATACATGCTGAGAAACTGCTGTGGAAGCCCTGCATTGAATTAACATTTATTCCACAAATACAGCAGACATGGGAAAGGCATTAAAAAGCAATAGGCACAATCAAATAGATTTCATTATTATTGCCTTACTGCAAAAAAGAAAAAAAAAATCTATCTTCTTTTGGGGTTTGTAATAGCCTTACTCCTACCCATTCACAATAAGAGTGAAACAGTAATCCTTTGGGAACAACAAAAAAAATAAAAACGAAGTGACAAATACATATTGAAATTACTTGTTCAACATGTATAAAATAATACTAAATGCCTTGAACATTTTTTAGGAGAACAGATGGAATAGTTCACAAATATGAAATAAAACCAAGCTATACTCAGTATTTTTAACCAAAAGAAGACTTAAAAAATCTATTGCCTATATACACTCTTACCCACATCACAGTCCCTTCAACTACTTAACAGTTAAAAGTAAAGTTAGATGAAAGCAGAACAGACAAAATATTTTACAAATGTCTTATCTGTTGCAGAGCACCCTTATGTCCCTGTACTCCCAAGGTTTCTCATACAGTGCTGGAATTAGGGTTGCTGTTTTCCTACTAATGCATATATCTTCCACACCCTGAAACAAACTTTGTTAAGGAGACACGAGAGTCTAAGTGCTTTTAAGAATAATGAAAGAACATTCTAACAGTGACAATTCTGTTTAGCCTGTGTCAGCTTGTGTGCTCAGCAGTATAGCATAACTTTTAGAACTAATTCAGGTGAACTGTTCAGTATAAACTTCTTTTCCTGGCATGTGTCAGCTCCTAAGAAGTTAATGAGAACACTTCCATACCTGTTGCTGTTCACCTGAAAGGCAGCTGTCAGCTTTTGCAAATACTTCATTAAAAGAAAAAATAAGTGAGAATCTTAGTAACTTGAGCATGGTAAACACATTTTCCCTTCCAACAAATGTGCAGCACAGTAAACACAGCATTACGTGTCACTACGTGACAGAGTGAATTAATAGTTGCAAACAAAAATTTAAAAGTAAGTAAAGCCAATTATATGTTTGAGGAGAAAATATGCATTAAAAAATAAAATGTGACCTAGAATATAAAAATACATAATTAAAACAGAAGTTGGGGGGGAGAAATCTGCAAAAGAACTCCCCCTGTGTTACATGATTGTATTTTTGTGAGTTTTTTCCAAGGAAGTTCCTCATAACAATAAACCGACTGTAACTGATCCAGTGGTAGAAATATCATTCTAAGTCAGCTTAAGAGACCACAGGCAAATTCTCAGAAAAAGATGATTAACAAAGGCTGCTTTCATTCTGAAGGCTTGAAGATTTTGTTATCTGTAAGGCTTGCCTAAGCACAGGCAAGAGAGAGAGAGAGAGAGAGAGAGACTAAGACAGCTGTTCCATGCCTGGAAATAAAGTTGAGGGATACCAATCTCCAAATATTAGCCTGAAAAGAAGAAAAGTTGACAGTGTAAAGAGAAATTAAAAGAAAGCAAAGCATTTCCCATCAAAAGCCATTCCTTTTCAAGCCAGCCCATTTTAATACATTTTTGAGGTTACCTCACTTTGATGTATTTGCTTCAGCATAACTTTAAGTACAGAAAAATGCAGAGCATGGAAATAAGCAGACATGCTTATATTCAGTAAACGAAAAATCTTTGAAACCCTCTCCAAGTCCTGTCAGCTGCAAATAAAGTTTCTGTCTGGGAAATGTGATATAAAGCTTCTTCAAAGATTCACAGGTAAAAAGTAAATACTGTTTAGATCATCAAATAGCCTCTATATAAAAACAATACCAAGAACTATCACTCCTGCTGGGGTCAGTCTGAAAATGTAATGCAAGGCTTGGTACATGGGCACCAACACACATAAGAAATAATTTCAGTAGTAAATAAACCAAAACCCTACACTTAGAGAAACCTCCCATCTAAATGTATCTACAGATCGTTAGAAAATACTTGTCAGTAAGTCCAGTTTCTGTAAAACAATGGCAAATGCAAAGAAACTATCTAATACAGTCAAGTAACAGCTGTTACATTAATTTAAAATTACCCTTTATTTTTCACAAGTTTTTCCAACATGTTGTGCATTTTGGCACTGTAGACTTTGAGACAGCTTCAAGTTTCTTTAAATTACAAACAGTAGATACAGTAGGAATATTTTAAACCAATTTCTTTAAAATAAATGTCAAGTTAAAACCCTTAGCTTTAAAGAGAGACTGCCACCATTTCATCTTCCTGATACAAAATTCAAGTAATTTTAAGAGTAGAAAATTGTCTCTACAAAACATCCTATTATTACAATTTACCAGTATTCTGAAAATAAACATCAAATTTCCAGTATCAATTGGGTGCAATTACACACTTAGAAAAATAACTCACTTTAAATGAAGGTCACTTGCTGAAGAAAAGTAAGTTTTCAACAGGATGAGTTCTCAAAAACAAATGATAAACCATTTTTTCCCCTGGATAAATGATTTAATCCTTGTTCTATCTCTGCAATTAATTTATTTTTTCTTCTACAGGTGTACATTTCAGTATTGAAAATGAATTAAGGAAACAGGCTACGGGGATATTTTCCCTTCAGTATATACCGGCATATGCAATTATTGCTTATCCGAAACAACTGTAAACAAGATGCACTTCATTTCGTTTTTATGTTGTGATTTTTCACTGCTTGGTACCAAATATACAGACCACACAAACTTTAGCTGTGTCGCTTTACTGAATGAAAACCACAACAATTTTTTCCGATGATTTTGTATCTAGAGTTGTTTGGGTTTGTTTTTTTCTCAACGAAGAAATGGATTCACTATGCTTTTCCATTTGCCCTCCTTACCTACTCTTTAGGTCAGCAGAATGGAAAAACAAGCAGGACACATTTATTTGTGACTGAAGGCTCAGAGCAGATATCAAGAAATCTTCAACAATATCAGAATATTTTCTGGTTTTCATTCTTTTTCCCCAAAGTACCTTTGTTGCGTAGGTACAAGAACTTAAAGTTTCTTTTATCACCATCTTCCAGAAGAAATCTATAAATAAACGTTTGTGTAAAGAACACTGCTGTTGAAGAGGGAAAAAAAAAATAAAATTAAGGATCAATAAATGATACTGCAATGTATCTTGTGCCATTCAAGATAGGAAGTCCTTCGTGTAAATGTGTAAGTCTTCCTGGGTGCATGAAACTCCATCCTTTCCTGGGAGACTCAATGGAGCAGTTGTACCTAATAAATTTACATCCACCTCCCTGTAGTAAAAACACAAACAAAATAAAACCCTAAACATTTATCCTGTGTTTTAGTAAAGTAAGTTCATTTTTATATATCCATGACTTCAAATATTTTACTATTATTAATAGGCTGTTAATTTTTTCTTTTGCTATCCCAAGGTTATTTAAATGACACTATCTTTAGAGCATTACACAACACACATGCATTTGCAATCAAAGACTTCCCCTTGCTTTGCTTTAGCGTTTGCTGGATAACAACTCATTCAAGCAGCAACTCTGACAAACATCTTCAATAACTTTACTGTAAATTATACAATTTGGGCTCTAGTTTGAAAATAACATTGGGCACTCAAAGGACATTTTTTAAGTTGGTAAGTTGTCAACTCACTTGAAAGTCCTCTCCTACTTTGTTGAGAGCGATGTTGATTGTGAACGTGGAGGAATCATGATGAGGTCTGAGTGACCGTTGTCTGTCAGGGCTGTATTTCACAACAAAATTCAGTAATGCATACCCCTGAAATAAAACATACAGTCAGACTTCAAGTTGTGAACTGCCAAGTCACATACAGGACTCTTGGGATTTTTTCAAGTTTAGTTAAAAAAAAAAAACAAATAACATCTGTTTATAACTACTCCTATGCCATGTATAAACTCCCCAACAAAATCAAATAGGGCAATTCGATAAAATTCTTAAATTTAGTCATGCCATGGAGTAATTATCTGCAAAAGTTTTAATCCCATACCTTGGTATAATAGCCAGCAAACACCTTCAGCGTTACTGGTGCAATGAACTCCCTTATGAAATGCAGCCATTCATTATCCAGTCCGATTTGCTTCATATGAATATCATCAGTTGGGACATTTTCATAACCTCCAGAAATACGGCTGTCCTAATGAAAACACCGCAAACAGCCATGAAATATGAACGCAAAATGTTTCTGGCATTTCTACAAATATTTATTTGAAATCTACAGAATCACAGAACTGCAACAAAGCAATACTTCAGTGAGCATATGTGAGCTTGCTGTATAGCAAATTCCACAGCTAACTGTCATAGAAAAATCCTGAGATATTAATTAGCAAAAGCTGGAAGTTTTTTAAAGGATGAGTAAATATTTGGATGTGTTGCCTGTAAGTAAGAGAGCTTCTTGGGGTAATGGTTTTATTTATTGAGTTGCAGATGGAATTGAAGTTGTATCAGATTAAGAGAGTACAGGCCTCAACTTGACACAGCAGAAAACACTGAAATAATTTGAAGATGAAAGTATGGTAAAATCCCTTCTGGAGGCTCCTACCTTCAGTAAAATTGTGACTACAATTATTCTCATTTCCATGGTACCACATTTGTGAATTAGACAAATAAAATCCTCTGATTTTAGTGGTAGTTAATAAATACCTTGAAACTCCTGAAAACACTGACATAATACCTCAGAACATCCCCCTCATGGAGATGAATTTGACAAATTAGTACTTAGGTGGTAAATTAGCAAAACCTGTGGAACAGTTATCAACAGCTATCCAAAAATCAGCCTTGGGTAACTGTCAGGTAACTACTACAGAAACTGCACTACTGTTAGTGTCTAATTTGCTAATTCAAAGTTTGCATAAGGTTTACATGGCAGTTTTGGTAGCGGGGGGGGGGTACAGGGGTGGCCTTTGTCAGAAGCTGCTGGAAGCTTCCCTTACATCTGAGAGGGCCAATGTCAGCTGCCTCCAAGACAGACCCACAGCAGGCCAAGCCCAATGGTGTCAGAGACAGCACCTCTGTGATGGCCACGTCTTTAAGAAAGGGGGGAAAAAAACCAGTGCAACAGAAATTGCAGCTGGAGAGGGGAGTGAGAATATGTGAGAGATAGCCCTACAGACAGTAGGGTCAGTGCAGAAGGAGGGGGAGGAGGTGCTCCAGGTGCTGGAGCAGAGATTTCCCTGCAGCCTGTGGTGCAGACCATGGTGAGGCAGCTGTGCCCATGTAGCCCACAAAGGTCCAAGGTGGAGCAGAGATCCACCTGCAGCCCCTGGAGGACCCCACGTCAGATCAGATGGATGCCCAAGGAAAGCTGTGACCCCACGGGAAGCTCCCCCATGGGGAGCAGGGTTCTAGCAGGATCAGTGATGCTACAGGGATCCCACACTGGAGCAGACTGTTCCTGAAGGGCTGCACCCCATGGAAAGGACCCACACTGGAGCAGAGGAAGTGTGCAAGTCCTCCCCCTGAGGAGGAAGGAGTGGCAGGAGACAATGTGATGATCACAATCTCCCATTTTCCCATCCACATGAGTTGCTGAGGAGGAGGAGGTAGAGAAAATGAGGACTAAATTTAAGCCTTAGAGGGAGGAGTGGGGAGAAGGTGTTTTTAAGATGTGTTTTCATCGCTCATTATATTATCAATCAAATCAGAGTAGGAAGGAAACTAATCTCCTGAAGTTGAGTGTGTTCTGCCTGTGATGGCAGTTGATGAGTGATCTCTCCCTGTCCTTAACTCATGAGCCTTTCGCTGTATTTTCTCTCCCATGTTCAGCTGAGGAGGGCAGTGATAGAGTGGCTTTGGTGGATGCCTGGTGTCCAGCCAGGGTCAACCCACCACTGGGTTAATTGAAGAATATCTCTAAATCTATTGAACAAGAAGCTACGTGCTAGACAAAACTAAGCATTTTACACCACAAAGCAGAGGTTTCAGGTCACTGGCAATTGTTGGGATATTTTTTGTTGCAGTACACTGTGACTCACTATTGTAAAGGTACTCACTCATTAAGGTCATGTTTATATAGGCTGACACTTACCTGGTGTTTTCCACCAGACCATTGTCCAAAATGTTCCATTTCTTCTACCAGTTCGTCACAGGCAGCGTCAGAAAATATGGGAAACCAAAACACATCTGGACATGGCTATAAACAAAATAAAATTTAAAAATTTGATCCCCAAGTACATTCTCACATAAGCAAAAAGTACGAGCTACCTTGTAAGCCATGACCCAGCATTAACAGGTGTGTCAGTGTACCCACACATTCTGTGCCTTATGGCTCTAAATAACAACCCTGATCTTCTGCATTACAAGCTATTATGAGGAACAGTTTAAAACTTAACATTGTTTTAAACACAAAACCAATTTATCACAGCTTCTTAAGGAGGTAAAGTTCATTAAGTCACTGTCCCTAATTGTCACAGAACTCATCATCCAACACAAGGGCTCTGTCCAGATCAGCTGCATGAAAGCAAGAAGCCTGGACCAAATGGACCATCATGGCAAACATTCAGTTCTGATCCAAAACATTAAAAAAAAAATTTCAATCATAGACTAAAACAGCATTTGTGTGGAAACAGTTACTGTATGCCAATTTATTATCAGTCAGTTCCACAAATTTTTAGAAAACTACTTATACCCACCTGTTCTACTATATTATCAGTGAAGATCTTTGAGTAGTTTGGATTTATATAAGTTTCCTTCCAGTCCTAAAAAACACCATGATTTTAAAACATTATAACAAAACAAATAAATTTAAGTGACAAAAAATCTATTCATTTGCTCTATCGAAAGCATTGAAACAATTAAACAATTTCTTATACCATAAAAAAATTGGTTCTTATCATGTCAAAACTTATGAAGCCTGTTACATCAGGGCCATATCTCCAACTCCTTACTCTCATCATCAGTTAGCTTATTGCTATATTGTTTGCTTAGGTGGGTTAGAGAGAACACCTTTCAGTACATAATCAATATTATGCATAGCAGACAAATGTTCTCCATGTAAAGTCCTTAAAACCTAAGCCCTTTATAATATATAAACTTTACTTTTTTCTTGATAAAATAACTCTTTCATCAATAATTAGATGCATACCACAGGATTTTCAAATATCTGCCAGAGGTCATTGTTGTAGTGGGAAGTATTGTAATTGGCTGTAGAAAGAAGTCTTCCAAATTCATGTCTGTTGGTAATGTACATGAAAACACCCTATACCAAGTAGAGAAAGCATCATTAGCAAAACTGTCCATCTTAGCAAATACCAAGTTTTAAAAAGGTCTGTTTATGACTGCACTTCCATAAAATATATCACACACTTGGACACACATTATTATAAATGTGCTGATCATTTAGCATCCTAATTTTCAAATGTTTGACTCCAATCACCAGCTACTGTTCATAATATTTTCTTTACAAGCATTTGGTTGTATTATTTTCTAAACACATTAAACTGAAACATATATTGTTGAGAACATAAAACCATGTACAGTTATAGAAAGGAAAAAACAGAGAAGCAACTGGTTGATTTGTTTCCCAGAAAACCTAAGCAGACACACTGGAAGCATCTTTTCTCAAACTGAAAATGCTCACACAAGAAAACCAACATCTAGGGTTTAGTTTCCAATTAAAAACTGAAAGAATAAGCTAACAATCACAGGGCTCTTGAAAGTCAGAACAAGAAACTTATTTCAGAGTATTCACTACGTGATCCGTCTGGTGAATTGGCCTGAAATAAAAAGATATTGGCAAATACAGCACACAACAATATTCAGATCAGCATACAAAACAGCTGAGCACTCTGAAGTCTGGTCACATAATTATATGCAAGATATGAAGTGTGGTAAGATACAGCTTTATTATCAAGCTATTAACAGAAGATATTAACAGAACTCTCTTGATTAGAAATAGTAGTAGAAAATAGTATTTTTAAAAAGAAACTTAGGTTCTGTGGGACTTTTTTAGTTTACAGTTTTTCAGACTAAAACTTCATTTCTGAAATGTTTGTGACTTTTGGATTTGCAGCGGACAAAGACAACATCATTTGGGCATTTTGGTACTTCTGTCTACGTTTTTGTCTGAAAAAGAGTTAAACTGTTAGAAAGATAATGATTATGTTAAACATGCCCAAAATCATTGGGCGCTTACCAAATCATAAAATAGCTGCAGCAAGGAGAATAAGGAGGGCCTGGGTCAAGAAATACAGCTTAAACTGACATTGTGGTCACTGAGGGGGCCTGGCAGAACTGGGTGATTAGAGCTTTACTCCTTCCTAAGACTGCTGAATCAATTTTAGCTACAGAGGCACAGCGTCAGCACACCTTGGCCTCAGAAGCACTGAGAAACCTCCCTGGGGAAACAATGAGCCTCTCTAAGATACATTGAGCTGGTCATGAAGAACCTGTCCCTGGTAAAAACTTGAACCTCAGAAGACTGAAGAGAAAGCTAGAGCAGTATTTCATTAGAGTGAGTGGACAGAAGAGAAGTTATCTTCCTGTGGTAGAATAATACTGCATGTAATAATAACTCATTAATAAAAAAAATAAAGCAAAACCTTTGGGGGTCTGAGCATATGGAATGTTTCCGAAGAAGGGGAGTCTTTTTCCCTTTGTAAAGTCTAAAATGAAGGAGAATCATCACATCAGTTTTCTGATACATAATCTCTCTTTTTCTGACTACGAATAGGTTTCCACAGTTACATCAGGTAAACAGCAGCCTTCGCTTTATAGCTGATATGCCTTTACAGACAACATGCATCTCCAAGCAAAGCTCTTAATACACATGTCCAAGCTGTTTCCACCAGCCCCTTCTTATCTGCTGCCAATACAAAAACAAGCACATACCAAACCATCCTACAGCCCAGACTGAGAAGGGGGAAAAGAGAAAGCAATTTTCTGAGGAGCCAGTCAGATTAGTTTAATGAGCACATGGAAAGCACAAGTTGGCAATAACTGATGCTGAGAAGGTTTGAACACAACAGGATTGGACAGCAACGTTCTGAGGAATCAGTACAAACAAAGGAGATCATGCCTTGTTATGAGGGAATAAAAAAATCAATACTTGCCAACTTTTCTTGTTCAATTCAGCAAAATTATTTTTCAATGCTATAGTGTCTGGAAATAGGTCTGGTTTAGGTCTTATTTGTTTCTGTGCTGAAACTAGTGTAAATATCAGTAGAAATGTGGATTTACAAATTCATAACTTTACAGTACAAATACGTTTTCTCTCAGTACTTACAGCTTAATGCAAGTAACACATTTCTGATACAGTTTTTATCTATCTAGAAAACTTAATGAGTAATTCATGCTCCTTAAGAAGATTCCGACCATTTGATAAATTATTTGGCCTCTCATATAACACTGCTCACCATTATTTTAAATATATACCTACTTAGATAAAAAAAATTGCAAAATATTCCAACTTAGTCTGCTACAAGTTTCACACTGTATAAAAATGTGCATAAAAGAGGTGGTCCAAATGCATTGGTAAGTTTTAAATAAAACAGAGTAGAGAAGTTGAGCCCTCTTTCATCTGTTGAGGTTGCGCCAATGAGAAAGGTATTTTAACCTCAATAGACATTTCCAGGGAATTTAACTAGAAACCATCATGCAGTCAGTGCACCAGTGCACTGGCTTTGCAAAAACCTCTGTTCTCAACAATTTAAAGAAATAAACCTAGTGTTCTATCTCACAAAAATTGGCCAGTACTTTAAATTAGAATTAAAATATAATATCCAAGATCAATCAAGTAAAGCAGCGAAGTATAGCAGACATGAGTGTATTTGAAAGCAAGCTGTTATAGATACACCTTACCATTTCCCTGGCATTCCTGCAGAGTGCCATATCAGGATCCAACTTATCACGCATGAAGTAGTTCTTTTCTTTCATCTCTGATCTGAGAGTTTGTCCCTTAATTAAGTATATATTAGCCATGTAAGGGATATTCCATACTCCTCTGTTGAGAAAAGAACAAAAACAAACCCAACACATACAAATAGTTTAAAGCTATGAAAACTAATTTGTTGCCTATTCTATTAAATCAGGATCTCTATATCTGCTGACAAGAGTAAGTAATTTGCAAGGAGAAGAAGCTGAAAGGTTCCCAAGACATTTGAAAAACTACATCTGGACATCTCAAACATAGGCGTAGGCAGTAACTCAATTTTTATGAAGTATTGTTATAAAAATATAGAGAGGTCAAATTCTCTATGGAGTTTTAACTAGAAATTTACTTCATATTTCTATAGTTAAAGCAATCAGTCAAACTCTCTTAAAATATTATTCTACACTGCCAGATGGAAAAAGTAATTCCAAAACAGATTTTTAAATGAGTTTAAAGACTTCACTGAGACTTCACACAGCTGGTCTGACCTCCTCACACAAATACCCATGGACCACAGCAGGCTGTGTATTTATGTGACTTGGGCCAATATCAACACAAAAGCATTGCTTTGAGAATGCTCACTCTGCAGATTTCCTCCCTCTCAGCACCACGAGCACATCTTTCAGTACAACTGAAAACAAGCAGTCAATCTGTTTCTGACCTTTCTGTTCTTCCACAGCAATGAAAAGGCATCACCACATGGGAAAGTCAAGCTTGGAAAAACTTACATCACATTCATTAGGGGAAGGATAAACCCAAAAGTTTATCCTTGACAAAAGTATTGCTGAAGAGCTCCTTAAGATATATCTGACAACATATGCAGGATGAAAAACATAATGAAATTACAGTTGTCCCCCTGGTTAAGCATTTGTCCCAAAGAGATGACAAAGTCATTTGATGAATGCAACAATCGTTCCTTTTGGCTGAGGTTCCAGGGACAAAGTTTTGGGGTTGCTATTTGTTTGTCCTGCCTTTTCCTGTATTATGCACTGCTAGAGTAATCAGGCACAAACAGACCAGTACTAGTAAACTAGTAATGATTTTGTCCAGTACTAACATCAGCTCATTAGGTTAAGCACTTTGCTTTTTTTTTTTTTTCAAGCTGTAAATGGGAAGTAACAAGTGTATTTCTATGAAATTAAAAATGCAAAACAATATAAGCATATTGGGTGCCTTGACTTTAACAATTAGCTTACAACTACTTACACTCTGTTCCCTTGGACAATATCAACATAATCTTCTGATCGGGCATAGTAGCCATCTGGGCTCAAAGCACCCCAGAAATTAGACCAAAGCTTCCCGTGACGAGTTACAAGCGGAGCAATTATCTTTCTGTGAAATGACATATTTGAATAAGAAAATATCAAACTCTGAAGCATTTGAAATTCACATCAGGAACTGCTGCTTGACAGGTACAAAATGCTTTGTGAATTGTTGGTCTCCAAGCCTCTTATGAAATATGGCAATGAAATACCACAGGTAAACAAAGAGGATCTAACTCTATGAGAACAGAGGGGATCTTATTTTCTCTGGACGGGCCCCAGAGAATCCTTTCAACCCAAAGGAAATTCTACAAAATAAGAGATATACTACACCTGTTCTGTTCTATCAGTATTCTTAAAGTTTTTGGGTTTGTCAGCACAACATCTGCATCTATGTTTAAGTAATATTCACATGCTTTATCCTGGCGACAAAGGTCCCTAAAAAGACAAAAAAAAGAATTATTAACTCCCATATGTCCAGAAAAAAATAAATCACAAACAATAAAACAAACAAACAGATAAAAAACCCCAAACCACAACTAAGTACTCTACTAATTCATTGCATTAAAAGCCCTCTGCAGCACAGTATTGTAAAGAAAGGTGTGTTTGGATTACAGTAGAGTGATTAACTAAAAGAAAATTTAAATACATGGATCAGATGCCTTATATTTTTCTTTTAATAAACTAAGTGACCTCTAACCTTTACCAAGTTCAGTAATACCTACTATACAGTTTCCTAATGGAAAACAGGGTGGGAGAATCATGCCACTAATTTATATAGTTGGATATCGGTACAGTCACTTCATAGTGAAATAGTGAAGTAAGAGTAAGCTCCTCTAGCAAGACTCCATGTGGTTGTAATATTATCTTTGGAAAAAGATTCTACAGATGTGATCTGATGATCTGAATAGTAATTGAAACCTTATGGAAGGTGTAAGACAAAAAGTATAAAGAAATATACATTTAAAGACCTTTTCTTTGTCTTTTTTTGTGACTTACAAGAACAACAGGGTTGGTAAAGAGAAATATAAACAAACTGCACAGGCAGTGAATGGAAATTCGAAAAAGTAATTGAGTTTGTCCACACACTATTTCTGTGTTACCATTTTGATCTCAGAAGAATAAACTATCTGTGCAGATTCCCAGGCCTTCAAGAGAAAGCTGCCACCAAGCAAAAAACACATTCTACCATAAAAAAAAAGGATACACGGACCACGTTTGTATGTTTCTGTCAGGGTGCACTTGCTAGGCTATACCTGCTAGAGTGAATTTAGCTTTCCTATGCCATCAGAACAGCAGGAGATTACAGCAAATCAAATATACTTTTAGAGGAAGTGCAACAATTTCCTCAAGTCAATACTACAGCAGTAGCTTCCTATCATGCAGGTGGTGGCATTGATTTTGTGTATTTTTTCCCTATTTTAATTCCATCGTAACAGCTTGAAACACTAAAATTATTCTACTTTCTTGTTTTAAAACATCTATAAATACTGATTTAGTTTAAGTTCCACTTGATTTGATTGATTGTGACTGTTTTCTGCAAAGGAAAAGATCTCTGTCACTTCAGAAGATCTTATAAACACTGGATGTGACAGGTTACATACAAGTCAAGAAAACTGCTGGCATGGCTTCCTGCCTGCTTTTCTTCCCTTCCACTACCTAGCACTAAATGTTCCATAAGAACTACTACTTATCAACATCTTATAGGTCTTTTTGTTCAAACTTTCTCCTGCACAAAGGACTGAAGAGGTGTAACTTGGTTGGAATCATAAAAGGTACAGCTTTTTTATTCCATAAATTTAAGACATTCTTCCTCTTCAAGTCTGATCACTAAAGATGTGCTAATTGATCTGAGATATATTGTCAAGATACTCAAATATCAGAAGTGGTCTCCCCACTACTGCTGAGATCACTGTGTGGACAACACCCTCAGTTTAAATCTTTGGTCTGTCCTTTGAGGCAAAACTAGAGACTTTCTTCTATCTTATGCATATATTTTTATGACAGAAATTCCTTAATCAGCACTTTCACACATAATTGCCCCAGCTGAAACTACCAGGTTTTATTTTGGCCATAACATGGTCCTACAATTCAGTCTTTATGACATTTCCATTACTAACCTATTCTGTTCAAAGCTTTATAACTACTGAATGCAATTCACATGTAGCTTTATCATTAGCTTAATTACAATTACTAATAGTAACCTGACTTTTATATTGCACTTGGCATTGGATGTTAATTTTCTTCCAAAAACATTCAGCTCCTTTGTCATTATTCTAATGAGGAAAATAAACCCAAGAGACCAACAGACTTGATGCCAGTCCAGGGTTCCAGCCACAACACTGGCCAGCACATCCCCAAAAGCAGGTAAACTGTTTGCTGCTAAGAAAAATATGAGTGGAATTAACGTTTTTAATTACAAACATGTGATAAAGTGAAACAGATTTATAGTTAGTTGTAGATAAAATTAACTGGAAAATTAATTGCATAATAGTGAAATGAACTGTCCTTCAACTTTTGCCTTTTTATTTTTTGTGTCCCCATTCCCTTTAAATCCAGAACCAGAGAATTCTATTACAACTGGTCCCATGTGCTTAGTGTTAGAAATCCTCCTGTTCTTCATTCACACAGTAATCCAAACCACAGAATACTAAAAAGCTTTGGTCTAAGTCACATTCATTCATTCGGTAATCTACTGAAAACTCCTTGAAAGCATTACTGTCTTAAATAGTCCAGAAATGTCAAAGTTACCATTCTGACTTATTTTTTCCTCGTATTTCTTTCTCTACAACGTTGAAGACTGGATCACCAAATGGTAAAACTTATTCTTCACATTTGACATGATGACTTGTATCTGAAAATGCTAGGAGAATTATGCTTTAAAACACCAAGTTTTGCCTTTTGGTGATCCTTTGTGCTTTAAGCTCACTAACAAAAATCTCCCTAAAACACTACAGGTTTCACATAGAGATAGAAAGACAGTGATAAAAGTTTCAGTCAACATTAATAAAGCACACATACTCTCAAGAAATTCATGCATCTTCTCTTTAGGCTTTCAGTGCTGCCAAGTAGCTTTCTCAAGGAGATAAATGTAATCCTGAATATTCTCATGTTTTAAAGTATTACATTCTTACAGTATATGTTAATCTCTCCAGATGCAGAAATTCCAGATCATATGTAAAACTATTTGTTATGTATATCCAGGTCACTGCAAGGAACAAGTGGAAAGTGCTTTCTAGCAATGCTCATATGTATTGTAATATACTTTCTTACCTAAATGCAATGGCTAAAACCTTCAAACTACTTGCTTTACACTCCACCTGCTCTAAACCAAGACCAAATGTTGAAAAGAAAGCTGTATTCTTGTACATAGAGTAATTTCAGTGTAGTGATTAACAAAAATTTAGAAGGTGGCCAAGATTTTTTTGTTGGAAGTGTAAAGTGAAGCTCAGCAGATCAGTTTGAAGTATTTTGCAATCAGAGTGATGTTTGACTTCGTTTACAAACCACAAACCCATCTGGAACAGTGACCTCATCTGAAAATGGGAAAAAGTGTCACTGCTCTCTTCCTCATACTTTCCACTGAGATATTCCAAAGAATTAGCTGTTTATAAGAGTTAGACATAGACAATTTCTTTGCCATTGAGCCACCTTCTTTTTTGACATAGTTTGAACTTGCAATTAATCAAGTTACTGTTTTTACACCCCTCAGTTTGAAAATACAATTCCAAATGTGGACTGCAAGCCCAAAGTGAGAGCACTTAAACCATCTGACAGATCTCTGAAAGAAAAGGTGTTCCAGATACAAGACTTCAACACCCACTGAAAGACAGGGTGTCATCACCTGCCATTTAGAGTTACATTTTGCATCTCTCCAGGCAGCCACGATAGTATAAAGAAACTCTTATCAACCATCACTAAAAACAAACAAATGTAGCCAGAAAACAGCACTAATGTTTAGTTTTGCCTCTCATGTTTAAGTATTGTTACCACAGTCCACCACACCTGGAAGCTACTGAAATCAGGAACAGGTGGAAAAGTTGTTTTTCTGCAACACTCAAAATTCAAAATGCTGAAGTGTTTTGGAGAAGCACCTCCAGAAAAGCCAAGTCTCTAATGGAAAACACATGACATCTAGGAGAAAAAGATTTAATCCCCCCTGCTCTTACTTCAACCACAGCCAAGACACTTGCCCTACTCAAAGGACTGAAGGGGGGTCCTCCTGTGTCCATGACATTGTTTATCAACACCAAATGGGAGCTCAGAGACAATGATTTAATATCCTCCTTCAAGAAACACACAGGAAATCCCAAATCTAGCTCAAAATTCAATGGTGTTGTCGATGAACTCTAACTGATTCTGATCTACTCTTCCTGAAACTTTGGAAAGCTTTCAGTGTAAACTTTCACTAAAATGTGCACTTTACCACTAAAAGCTGAGGTAAAAGAAATTTTTTTAAAAGTTAAGGAAAAACTGCACACAGTTCTGTTACTAATGTTTTTGAGGGAGGAGAAAAAAAAAAAAGAAACAAGCCCCCAAAAGAAAAACCCTGAAGACTAAGTACTGGGGGAAAAAATATCATGCAAAATAAAAAGCTTTTTATAAATAAAGCCTCAGAAATGCATGAGAAAAATTCCCATATCTCCTGACTTTATGTTATTGCTTGAACATATTTAATTACTATTTTATGTTTTCTGACATAACAAATTCTGTAACAGCTGGCTGAAATCTCATCTGCAACCAAGGCAAAAATCACAGATTTTTTTCTTAAAGAAAAAAAGAAAAAACTGTAAGAACTATATCTTATAGACAAAGGCTACAAAAAAAAAAAAAAAAAAAAAAAAAAAAAAAAAAGAAAGACATGGAAATCAAGTGATGTACATTCAGGGAACATATTAAGAAAACATGCAGCTGAACCCTCCTTCTCTTTATTCTACTTGGCTCTCTTTCCATTTCGATTCAGCCCACAACAAGGAAAGCTGTGCACTCCTGTTCCCCAGTATTATTGAATTCTAACAAGTTTTTGCAGATTGCACAATTTTTGGTCCCTACTGAACTCTCACAAGCACAGGAGAGGGCTTTCCATGTCAAGAAGAAGCAAGAAAGTAAATGATTCAATTATTCTTTATTATGTGAATGAGAAAAGTAGATCAACTGCATTATATACTCAAAGTATTCTGCTGAAAAACTAGTCCTTCAATGCTTAAGTTGCCCCTCTCTGTATTTATTGAATCCTGTTTTGCTTCTTCAAATAAATAGACTCTGTGTGAAATGTGCAAGTGAGCAGAACAAATTAATTCTAAGTCTACCGGAAATTAACAGAGATACTAAAATCAGCTAATTTGGAAAAGGAGAGAAAGCAAGTGTTTGAGGCAGATGGAACAAAACTATCAGTCAATAATGCAGATAGAGGCAGGAGAAAATTAATCAGAAGACTGAATATATCAATCTCTGTAAATCAAAACAATAAACAAGTCTGAAGAATTACTCTTTTCAAGCTATTCCCATTGCAGTATTAGTGAGAAATAAATGAGGTTATGATGCTCAAAGCCAGATGAAGGGTTGAAAAGCAAATAATTTATTAGAGTAACTGCCCTTGCCTTGAACATCCTGTATTTCCAAATTAGACTTTTTAAAGAAATGTAAAATGTGTTTGTTCCAGTGAAGTTGGTGAGGTTCACAAGGGCAGCCATGCAGACCAGGTGTGCAAAGCAAGCAGCAGATTAACTGAATCTGCTTCAGACAAACTGAAGGGAGCCATTGAATTATATCTACATTGTCCACATGAAAGATCCTACTACTAACACTCAGGCTTTTTGGATGATTCAGTGTTTTGCCATTGTCTCATTCCACACACATTATACTTCATGTTTTCTCTATATACAATGTATCTCTTTAGGACAGATTCTTTATTAGAGGGGCCTTTCAAAACTGGAGCAACATGGGTCAAATTACATCCACACAGGGATAACACATCACACATATGATTATCTCCCTGCCTTTCAAACAGAATTTAAAATAATTTTGTGTAAATATTACAGAATCACAGAATCAACTTGGTTGGAAAAGACTAAACAAATAAAAGACCTCTGAGATCGTTGAGTTCAACCTAAATGGATAGCATTTTTATTTATTTAGCATGCTAAATATGCACTTAAATTACTATTATTTTATCCATAGATCAATCAAAGATCATATATCAAAAGCTCTTTCACATAAGTAGGTATATTCTATCAAAAGATGACAGGTTTAAAGATCTTTGGGTGAGATTTAGTAACAGTATAGATAGTGATTACACTGAAGATTCTGCTTTATGCTGTCTATATAGCAACAAAGAGGCAAAGGCAACTCCAGAATCTCCACCTCAGTTACACATAACATACACTAAAAAGAGTTTGCAAACATGGCACATTTGCTTTAGAGACTACTAGAAATAAAGAAAAGAATTATTTATAAACAAGTGAATGGTTGCATAGACTAACACTGGACATCTGCGGCATTCCTCGAAAGGCAAGGGGAGAGGCCTGGATCTCAGCCACAGATCAGTTTCCAAGTGGCTTCAGCACAACAAAATGCCATTTAAACAACTTTCCAAGAACACTACAGAAACTCAAGACTAGACCTTCATTCTTTCAGTTGATGCTATGAACAGCCTATGCTTTGCTCTTAAGTTTTGAACAGAAAATGGCCTTTTCAAACTAACTTCTCTGCTCATGGAAGATTTGGTAGAAGAGAGAGCGAAAGAACTATCAGAGAATGACGTCTGCTCAAGGGCCACCTGGGACTCTGATCTTGGTGGGATCCTGGTCTGTAAAACTCTATACTATGACTGATGTCCTGGAAGAGCCATGAGCAACTCTATGATAGCAACCAGTGCTGAAGCCAGTAAAGAAACCTTTGGACAGGGAGACCTGATGTGGGATACAAACTCCGAGGTTCAGATTTAGACCTGGTAAGTGCCAGGTTTAAAAACTAAAGTTTTGGATACTCTAGTAAGAAGAAAAAAAGAAAAAAAAAAGAAAAAAGGCAAGACAAACCATAAGATAAAGTCAGTTGCCTTTGCAAGTCTCGGTTTTGGTTTGTTTTTTTCTTTTTTTCCCCACTGGAAGAAGCAGCTAGATCACTTAAAAAAAAATATTCCTGCCTCTTTGAACTACAGGAAGAAATATAATTCCATCACCTGCACACCCAGATCAAGCCTTAACAGTGTGTTTACTTAAATATAATGTCACTTGAGGAAAAGAGTAGGGACTAAAACAACCAAAGTGCAATTGTTAAAAGCATATCCAATGCAACAGGTACTTCTATTCCATAAAAAGTTAGCTTAAAAATGTTTTGAATAAAAAAACAAAAATAAAACAAATACTATTGTTTATGCATTGTCTATGCCTCCATCAGAAGATGAGGCTATTAGGTAGTCCAAAGCAGAAGAATGTTTTCACAATGACTAAAAGCTTCTTATGTTAGACAAAACCATAAAACACTCAACAGCTCATATCTTATGTCTAGATCTTTTCTACCAAAAAAAGCTCCCACTTTCATATCTGAATATATAAAGTTGTTAATGGTTAAGATGCAAAATAACATACATGCAAAATGAAAACATGCTAGTGGTATGCATCAGTAGAACATATTTATAAATTACAACTTACATTCCCATGTTTCGGGCTTCTGCTTGACTCAGATTTTCTTCAGGTCCAACAATTTTTATATTTTTGATAATATTCTTGGCTTTTTCCCAGAATTTCTTGATGTGCTTTTCATGGTAAACCTCCTGCAATCATGTTAACATTGTTTATAGCAGATGAAAAGTACACTGCTATGAAATCATAAACATAAGTGTCCAAGAACACATTGTATTCTTCCCTAAAGAAACAGATGCCAAACATTTAAAATAAAGCTCTTCTGTCCAAAATTTTAGCAAAATAATCCAGAACATCAGCAATATTAATCAAAGCTGTACAATGATGCAAGATTCACAGATTGTTTATGCAATATTTTTCAGGATATTTATGTTACAATCTTTAAAACCCATCCTACAACCTCACACAGGGGTTTTTCATGCAACTCTAAATCGCTTTAGAGAGGGAGCTGCCACCTGTATCAAAGTGTGCAGGCACAGTCATTGTTTCTTTAAAATGCAGTCACACTGATTGTTTCTTTAATTTCTATTTACCCTACCTCTATTTACGAGAGCTCAGCTGCATTCACTACTTCCAAACCAGTGTCTTCAGTGTAGTTTCTGCCTATTATGCCTGACTTTAGAATAATTAAAATATTGGATAGGGGTTTTCCTCCCACTATAATAAAAAGCGATTCAGTTTTTATATTCATTTCAAATACCATAATATGACTTCTGGCTGAAGCAACAAAATAGCCTACAATTCCTATGTGCATATCACATTTAACATCCCCTTAGGAAAGCACATTGAAGGCTTTAAAGATAAGCTCTACTTCTGTTACTTATCCCTTTCATGCTACCATATCAACAGTAATTTACACACAGCGAGAAAGGGTACAATTAATTTTTACTCCCATTTCTCTTCCAGCCCAGTTTCTTCCAAAAGAATCATACACATTTGACACCTTGCTCACTAAAATCCCAGAATCACAGAATGGTTTGGGTTGAAAAGGACCTTAAGGATCATCTCCTTCCAAACCCACACCTTCCATTAGACCAGGCTGCTCAAAATAGCAAAACTTGACTGAAGGCACTAGTGAAGGACCAGCAACACCAGATCATTAGGTAATTAGCAAAAAGTATTCGAAAGCAACTTCTCTGTAGTACCAATCAGACTATATCTGAACACATCAGTCCTTCCCATGGGTCCCAGCAGGAATGCCAAGAGAAACACAAATGCATTGGAGAATCAAGAAGAAAAGCAAAACCTATGTCAATTATTAGATGACAATTATTAATAACATTTGGCCAGTCCTGAAGTGGTCAGGCAGTTGGCCTAGATGATCGTTGTAGGTGCCTTCCAACTGGAACTATTCTATTTTTACTCTCTTCTCTTGTTTTACGTCAAGCAGTACCTCCCCCAGAAGCACACACTTCAAAATACATTCTTTTTCATTACTAAAAGAATCTAAGCAGTTTCTTTAAAAAGACTTCAGTAAGCCCTGCCACAATTTCATTTAATTTGTGCATTTTTCACAGTTCAGCATACTAAACTCTGAAAAATTATCTCTTCCTATGCATTTTAACTGTGTTCCTATATAGAATCCATATACTCCCTCACACACTTTGATTCACTACATAATTTCCAAAATTGAAGTTTTGCACAATAGCAACATCATACTTACATTATTATGAACGAAGATACTGAGTGCCTCCCGTGGGTAGTCCAGAGTCAACAGTCTGTCTAAAAATTTAGGTAGGAAAGGAGTTGGTTGTTCAATGAAAACACCAATTTTTACTCTTGGATATTCCTAAAAAAAATGATATTTTGACATAACCAGTAAGATTTGCCTCCTTTCTAAGATTACTTATATTAAAGAGCAACTAATGTCACGTTGTAGTAAATTTAGTCCACACAGCTTTCAAGCAATCAAAACCAACTAGCTCAAAAGTGCTATGTGCCCTGTTTATTTTCACTGGCTTCACAAAAAAGTAAAGATAATGGATTTAATATTGCTGGAAAATTCTTTGAATTCAATAATAAACTGGAAGCAGAAAATAATGTATTATTGTTTTTAAAATTCTTACTTTAAAAGAATACTAAAACACCAAAAGAAGCATTTAAGGAAATATACCTAGAATGGCACAGCCAACTCATTTTTTGAAAATAACACACATACATACATAAGTTATATTTACAAGAAAATATAAGGAAGACTAGTTTTTTAAAAATAGTTAAAGAATAAATACCACAAAATATTTTAGTCATTTGTACTTTAAGATGAAGACTGCAGTACCCTTCTATAAATGTATATGCACTATTCCTCCCTGATCATTTCAAGTGGGCTTTGCATTACTTCCCCACCCACTGATTTTAGGAAGATCTTTGATAATCTAATTAGAGATTCTCTCCTCACATCCAAAGATATTGAACTTTTATCCACCTTATTTTAATCTGAATTCACATCTTCTGAACAGTGGTATTAATTCCTGGTGTGGAATTCCTGTGCTTGATAGAGATCATAACCACTAAAACAAACACTGACAGCACCTTTGTGCTTTGTGTATTCCTGAAGTATAGCATTACATTATGCAAGACAAAGAAATTTAACCTTCAGAGGCCTCAACTCCTACACAAAGAAATACATTGATTTAACAAAAATTATTTCCATCTCAAACCCAGACAATTATTACGAACGTCTAATCCACTACAAGGTTCAGAGAGAAACCTTATATGAGTATAAAAGTCTGCCAGTTAGCTTTCCCTAGCTTTCCAACACCCACTTGAAGAGTGTCTGGATAAACCATCAACACATGCTGAGATTTTAGTGTCACTGTCTACATCGGAAATCCAGAAACACCCTGGCAAAGGCACCAGATCGGAAACATTAGGCACCAGTGTTTACCCTGACTACCTCCTATTCACAGCTTCATCTGCAAACCTAATAAGCACTCACAGGGAGATCCTAATATCTTCAAAATAACTGATGAAGACATATGTGTCTCGAAAAAGGCACCTGAGAGTGGTGTCACAGGAACTGGTACCACTGATGGCCAGGAAAGCCATCGGACCAAGCAGAGCACACACATGTGCTGCCAATGGTAGAACTGCTGCAATAACTGATTTTTGTCATTCTCCCCTTATTTTCTAGGACAAAGGGAAACAGGTTCAGGCTGGACCTGCAAAGGTTATACCGAGAGTGAGGAATTACTGACACTGCTTCAGTACACTGAAGTGTGAACCACTTGGCTCTGCACTAAAATCTGTGACCAGAGCAAAATAGTGTTTAAAAAATTAAGAGTAAAAATTCCTGTAAACTGCATCTTCTCAAAGTAGAGTTCATCAATGTAGACCTTGGTTTACCACATAGTTGTCACTGCATAATCTGAGTCTACATCACAACAAGTATTTTGAGTATATTAAGTCAGAGGTTTTGGTTCTTCCCAGTTGTGCCTGAGTAAAAACACATTGGAAACACACAGTCTGCACCAGGATGTTACGTTTTCTCTGAGGTCACATATTTTTACTTTTTCACAAGCAGTAGTTGAGCATGTGACAATTTTTGGAAGAAATACAGAACAGTGTCTCAGTACAACTACACAGAGCAAAGTCCCAGATCTCCTGACACAGGAGTTACCAGTGAAGCGAGAGGATGAGTGAGGTCAGCCTTTCCAGATGCACTGGGAAGTCTTCATAGCAGTAGCAAGCTTTAGGACTTAAGAAGCAGTTCTTGGGGGATTAAGTTTGTTGTCCAGTTTAGTTTAGGTTTTAGAAAAAAAAAAAATTAAAAAACCCAACAACTTAAAAAATTTACATTTTTTGTCCAGGTGCATTCTTCAACTTATTTTCCATTACCTTTTTTTTACCTGAAGAGATAACTAATTTGAGGGTGGCACAGGCTGCTGACATTACAAGATGAAAGCAGCTACTGATGTTTCCACACCTCAGCCATGATCACTGCCCAGGAGATCCTGTTTCTGTGAAGGGCACAAGGACTGAGCAGAAGACTCTGCACATGAAGCTCTCAGCTCCTTTGAACAAAACTCCAAAAAACGAGCAAAATCCTCAGAAGATATGAGTGTACAAATGCAGAAAGTTAAATAAAACAATATGGGAAAAATTATCAGAGTAGTACTGCTCTTTTCACTGAGGATTTCTTGTCAAGTAGCAACCAGACAGGCCTGAACAGAAAGCACGTTCAGAAAATGAAATACTGCTTGTACTTCGAAATGCCTGAAGTAAACACTTCCACTGAGGCCAAGAAAAGCCTTGTTGTTTCTACTGGCAGAGTAAGCGAGGTATGAAGTCCAAGGAATGCATTACAGTAAGAAATACACATTCCAAGTAGATGTACATAAACCATAGGAAACTGTCCAGTAAATCATTGCAAGCTACTCCCCGTTACTGGCTTTAAGATTTAACTGCTCCCTCAACCATGTTTTAATTACCAATACCATTAGAAAAAACTTAGACAATTTGTTTTCTGCAGGTAAACTTTATGATGCGAGTGCCAACACTATTTCATTAAATCACCATTCAAATGTTGTCTCTTAAAAACAAAAATAAAATTAAAAATATTAAAAAAATCTGAAAGTTATTACAATCCCAGTAATGACTTTTTAAATTTATATCCCAGTCCATTAGCTATTTATTGCCCAGAAATTCTTTCACTTTTTCCCTTCACTACAAAGATAACAAGCCACTACTTCTTTCATGCTATCCTCAGCCACCTTCTAAGACCTGCTCCCATTCAAAACTTCAGTACAGAACAGAAACAAAACAGCTGCTGGAAACAGCCTGTTAAGAAAAATCAGAATTTCTTTTTAAGTACAAGCCTCACAATTCCACACGGTAGAGCTTAGTCTTTACTCTGCCTAAAATTTACTGAGTACAAGCTGAAATATTCATAAAGACACTAAAGACATCATGCTTGGAGCCAAAGAGCCAAAATTGCCAAATACTGGATATACACACATGTCATGTGTATGTTTTTTCTACAAGAATTCTGTACTGAAATCCAGTCTCAATCACATTATACTTTTTCTACAGAAACACATTTACATATACAATAGAGATATCTGTATTGTCCTTTACAAGGTAAAGCAGTTTTGACTGTTTATCTCAGAAAATGGGAATTGTAACCATATTAGTTAACTATTAAACTCTATTTGTAATAGAAATTGTTGAACTGATGCATACTTAGTATTTTGTAGGTCTGCTGCTAAAAATCTGAAATATCTAAAGAGTTTTTCTACTTCCCCCAAAATTCTAATTATTCACTTGTACGTTGCATGATTCAAAAATTATTCATTCACCCTCAGTAACAGAGGTAAAGATCTGGAAGGCTTTTGGGGATGGGATCATTTTCAGTAATACTGAGGAAGCCTATATTAAAGCCACTGATTATTCCAGTGAATTAGAATTTCATCTTTACAGTTTCATGTACCAGAAAAAAAGTCCTGATGTGTCTAAGAAACGTGATATTGCATAACAAAGCCACTTTGCCTCCGAAATCACTATACACCTCTCAACTGTATTCAAAAGGGGTTTGTTCCAGATAGGAGTATTCTTACCGTTAATGTTGACAGGTCTAACAAGTCTAAATCACAAACACTGCAACCAGTTTCCCGTGTCCAAGCATTAGGAATATAGTTTCCCAAATAATTCAAGTGAATCTGGTAAATAAATGAACAATTCAGATTAATGAAACATGTATACAAATGGTGATCTGTACCTTTAAACAATTCAGGTTTATTCTTTAATCTCTTGTAACTAAAGGCAACTGACAAGAAACAAGCAAAAATAGATGGTAAAAACTTCTTATCCTTTTTATTTACAAAACAGATTATATATGTACTATAAAGTCTATGAAAATTAGTATTTCATAAAAATGACATTGCACTTGAAGTAAAAAAAATATTTCATGTCAGAAGGTGAGGATAATTTGGTATGCATTTCAAAAAGTTTCTCTAACCAATGTTATTTACTAACCTGCAAATTGGAGAGATTAAATATGAAACAGAAGTATCTTCTAAATAAAAAACTTTGTTTGGAATAAATTCTGGGAATTACTTTCATTCTAGTTTCTTTACTAACTAATTAAAAATTTTTCCAATCCTAGTATACTATTGTCCTCTTAATTCAATTCTAACTTTAAAAGAGAAGAATCTAACCATACTGACAAAGTGATGCATAGTAAGAGTTTCCTCTTTGTTTTTAAAACCACATCACTACATGCAAAGATTGAGTTTTGTTGAATGTAACATAACTCATGGATTGGTATAAGAAGTTCCATCCTAAACTGTGTGCCCAACTGTAAAATACAGAACTTTTCTTTGGCAATGTGTCAGCAAAGCCAATGATGACACATAACTTCAGGATTTAATTGAGGCAAAAATAACTGTAGCAATATGGAAGAAATTGGTCAAATATTTCACTACTAGTGAGTAATTATAAGCCGAACAGATAACAACATCATTATATTCACTAATTCCAAAAATGAAAAACAGTGCAAAAACTAAGCAGCAGCCATCTCTGGGATATTAATGAGTTTCAAACCTAATTCTCCTGAGAGCCATTTTTCTGAAAACAAGGAGCTAGCTATAGTAAGGAACACTTATTCAGAAGAACTTAGAAAGTAGCCATGCCCAATCCTTCAGCCACCAGATGCTCCTATAAATGATACACCCTTACACTTCTTTGACACAGAGCAAAAAAATGCAACTGCCATATTACCAAAACATAGTCATTTCCCTCAGAGAAACTGTGCAAGGTTCTCTGGACCAATGAATCCTTACACATGAACAGAATCTGTCACAACAGCTCTTTCACAGGGCAGAGAGTGCTCGACCGCGAACCCAAAGCTCATGAGCCATGGGCACAAGGGCACACCCACACACATAGAGAATTTTTTTTTGTCTGTATTCGATATATGTTTCTATATCTGTATATACACACCCAGGTCTCTTGCAGGAATGGATGTGTTACTGTTTTGTATCCCAGACTGTCACTCTTGGTTAGCTTACCTTCCCCCTGAAAATCTCTTCTTCTGATCACAATTTAATAACCAGATAGACATTCATCTCTAGCATCAAGAACTGTTTTGTGTTAGTGAACAAATTAACATAAGCTTACTCTCTCCTTATATCCCAAGCTACAATGAATTTGGGAGCAGAACAAGTTGTTTCAGCAGTGATATCAAGTTACAGTGACAGGAGAATAACATGATTGAGAGAGCTATTAGAATAGGGGTTTTATCCTTGCAATTCCTAATATTAAATGGAAATGTGTAGTGGTGGATGCTATGACAACTTCAGACACTTCTACCACTGTTTGTTGGTTTTTTTTACTTACGTTAGAATTGTGGTTTTGCAAGAAAATAAAAACAAACTACCACTCACTTTAGTTGGACCATTTCCATGAATGGTGACTGGTAGTGTGTCATACACTGAATTCCTTGCTCTTACTCTTCCTTCTTCAAATTTCAAAAGGACTTCATCTGCAAATCAAAGCCATACAGTAATAAATTCATAAATAAAAGCTAAAATTTCAGAGTTCTTTAAGTCGTTGCTGATACAATATACCTTGCTGTTGCTATCATAATCAGTGTTACTTATTTGGAAGCTTTTGTTCTTTTTTTTTTTTTAATTAGATCTTGAATTCTAAGCTCTTTATGCTAAATAAGGTGACAAAACCTCAGAGTTTGTCATCAGCAGCCTTCAGTATTGGAATAAAATCTGCTTAAAAAATAATTCTAATTTAGAGCAAATGCTATTTATAGAGAAATCATAGTTGTTTCAGATGTGATCTGACTACAAAAAATTGTTCCATAATTAGAGGTTAAATGTAAGAAAAGAAGTTTGCACAGATGCATTTTTCTATTTAAATTCATGACATTTGAGTAAAGGAAATTCTACATTATTTCACATTGCATTTCATTATGTATAGCCATTTGCTTGAGAACATCTAAAATACAATTTTAATTACCTATCTTACTCCTGTAATTAAGTTTGTGAAAGTTTATGAAAATTTTTCTTAACTCCATATTTACTGCTAACTTAATTTATTTAAAAACTATTTCTCTATTTTAAATCAAATATCTTATCAACATGAGAAATCAATTAATTAATTAATATTCAACTGAAAAGACCTGTAACTAATCTATTAATCAGGTCTATCCATCCAAATATTTCTTTAAAAGAAGTATATGTTTAGGGAACTACATTCATTGTTAAGCAAAGAAAGTGTTAATAACAGTTAATAAAACACACAATGTGCAAATCATACACTTACCAACAGCTCCATTTAGGGTCTGAAAAATTGTACATTTGTGGTCCAAAGTAATGTTAATGCGTTCCTGAAATAAAAGTACCAAAGATGTTGAGGCATTCTAAAAGCCAATATTTTTACAGTAATGTTGCAATTATACCACAGTGGCAGCAAGTAATAAGGTAAAACTACACTGTTCAGCTCTTAAATACAATTCTTTATTTTATATTGTTACTTTTTTTGAATTCCAAAGTTGTGCAGCTATATAACAATCAGTTTTATATATGCAAAAACTTTAAAGCCAAAGGATAAAGGTCATAACTCTCCAAAGAAAGAGCAATTTAGCAGTATAAGCCAAAGCAAATCTGTGTCTCAAGAAAATTAGCAAGTCTTGGCCAAGCAACAAAACATACTGTGTTTCACAGTTTCAAAAACACAAAAGTCAATTTTAAGTATCATGTCAGAATAGAAAACACTAGCAGTTTTAAAACATTTTTCTAATGTTGTATTATTAATCCTACCTCAATTCTTACTTTGAGTACCATGTTATACCATTTTTAAAAAGTTAATCAAAGTAGATAACCTTTAAAACACAGTTAAAAACCCTTATACAGAGAGCACACTTTGCTTTGGTCTTCCAAAATTTTCTCACATATTCTACAGCATTGGGCATTATCATATAAAGCAGCAGTAGCAATGCACAGTAAGCACCATGGAGGTGTTTTGAATCATGGTGCAGTAGTGCCTTGCACAGAGATACACATTTCTTTCCAGATTGTCTGGAAGACAATCTGTTTAGACAACTAATTATATTACTTCTGACTTTGGTGCAGAGTCAGCTTTAATGTCTCTACACCCTGCCTTTTCAATTGCATACCTGGCATCTGACTTCACTTCCATGAAATCAATTTGAACATTAAAGGCTGGAAGGAACGTCCTATGAGGAGCTGCTGAGGACTCCAGGTTTGTCTAGTTTGGAGGAGGTGGCTGAGGGGCCACCTCCTTGCTCTCTACAGCTTCCTGAGGAGGGGAAGGGGAGAGGGAGGTGCTGAGCGGCTGGGAATGGTTCAAAGCGGCACCAGAGGACCTTCAGACTGGACATCAGGAAGCATTTCTTTATGAAGAGGGTGATGAAACCCTGGATCAGGCTCTCTAGAGAGGCTGTCAATGCCCCCAGCCTGTCAAGTGTTTAAGAGGCAGTTGGACAATGACCTTAACAACATGCTTTAGCTTTTGGTCAGTCCTGTACTAGTCAGCCAGTTGGACTAGATGGTCACTGTATGTCCCTTCTAACAGAAATATTCTATCCTATTTCTGAACCTGCATCCAAACAGACATGATTTTCCATTAAGTTATACCAGGAAAAACATGTATATATTTCAAAAACTTTGCATCTGCCTTAAGCACACAAATTATCAAAATCATTTTCAAAATTCTGTTTTATCAGCTTCTAAAAGTCTTTTTGCATCAATACACTGCTAACTTTCCTTAGCTCTCTTTTTCCAGCACCAGGGACATGCCTCTGACATCTATCATGCTTTAATGCTGCTACTCAGCAGAGAACTTTGTTAAGCTAGGGCACAAAGAGGTCTTCACCAAAAATTTACGATGCAGCTTTATTGAACATATTTGCACAAAAAGCTGAAGGCAGGATCTGAAATGGCAGCAAGCCAAAGTATAAAACACTGGATCAGCAAGTAGTTCAGTGACACCCTGGAAAAATGCCACATTCTCTGGCCGTCAAACTGCCAAGTACATGGGACCCTCATTGAGATGAATGTGTCTGATCATATACCTCAGAGCTATTATTTCTAACAGTGAAGCTCAACCTGACTGGATCTGAAGACAGCCTGAAATAATATATCAAGTCATGACCCTTTGGAAGCCTGTTCATCATTCCTGCAGTAAGAACCTCAGGAGAGCAAACACAACTGTCAATATGGCACTCCAGAACAAAGAGACAGCATTCCTTTTCTTTTTATCTCTTGGTGTTTTAGGAGGAGTAGCATGTTATTTCAAGCAGAAAGAAATGAGAAAGCCATTCACTACCTACCCTTGCCAATGGGTCAACATAGATTTTGGTGTAAAACAGCTGGTCATCATCATTATCCTGCAGATTCCATTGCTGCACAATACGATTTATATATGGAGCATAACCAATAAATCCTGCAAAATCACACACACAGAAGTTATTTCCATAAAAAGCACTACCCTGCCAATGCTGTCTACCAGTCAGGGACTTCATTCTGACTGGTGCCAGCAAAGGAAAAGTATGAAATTCATACAACTTGGCTCAGAATCCAGTTTTCTTCCTGTGATATAGAACAGTTCTACTTCAAAGAGTTCATAATTAATGGTTACTTTTATACCAATGGTATTTTAAGGGAAAAATTAAAACAGATCTGTTTAGGATGGTCCTGAGAATACCAAAGAGATCAGACTACCACTTTTCCCAAGAAGCCCATCTGTGGAAAAAGTTCGATATTCATCAATCACTTATTGGCAGAGATGCCTGAATGCAATACTGCCAGAAATACAAAACAAATTCAACTCAAAACCAATATACATTATTTTTAAGCCAAAATTAAAAAAAAGATAGTGCAGATAGGTGAGGTAAAGGAGGAGGTAAAGAAACAGGGACACTCCTAGACCTGCACACTGCCCAACTCACTCATTAGAAGTGACATTCTGTGCTCTGCAGCAGTTATAGAGTATCAGTGTCAGTGTATGTATTAATCAACTCCAAAATTATTACCAAAACTGGCATTTAAATGAGGATTCCAGAATTAACCCATCATTGAGATTAACAGGAGTAACTCCCACTCCTTTTGGAATGAGCCATGTCAGCCATGCTGACAGGCTGGGCAGAGCTACCAGCTCATCTCCCCTGGATGCAGAGATCCACAAGAACAAGGCAGCCAAGTCAGGAAATCCTGACCCAGCTAAACTGTACCTATAAATAATATCATGTGATGCTTTGACTGGGCTTGAACACTACATTGTTTCTGAAGCAATTGGGTCATCTCTGCCCAGCATTTCCTTGCAATGCACAGTTGCTTGCTAAGCTGTCACTTTATTTACCTGCTTTTTAGAAGTTATTGCCAAGTAAACTATGCAAATTCAAATGAAAACTATGCTTAAACACAGAAGAGCAGCTACTAAAGTGGGAAGGAGAGGGGAAGAAGAGGACAGCAAACTCAGTCCTCAGTATTATACTTGGGGAATTCAGGAACAGTTCCACATACAAATACATAAAACAGATAACAGAGATGAGTCACGTTCAAGTCCAAGGGTTTAATGGGTTCACAAGAGGATCACACTTGCCTCCTGAGTTCAGGAATCGTTTTCCACTCCGGACAACAGGATACTTGTCAGCTAGCCTTTTATCTGGCCAAATTAGTCCATCTGCTGCAAACACCACTTTATGATTAGTTTCCTGAAATTTCTTTAGGAGCTCTTCGGGGCCCCCTGCAAAGATAACATCATAGCTGAAAAGTAAAGAAATACATTCATTAGATTAGTTTAATTTTAATGCTTCTATGTTGAAAACCAAAAATCATTGGACTATTCGAATTTTAAATATCAAACAGCCCTTTTATTCTGAAAAATGACTCAATGAAATTATGTTTTATCACCATGTAAAAAATTTTATACCCTTCTAGGAGAAAAATTTCAATCAAAACTATTTATCCAATACAATTTCCCCTTCTGCTTTTTAACCACCGACACTTACGAAAAACTTCACCTGCCTTTACGTGTTGATCAGATTTGAGTCTCAATTCCTATTGAGGACAAAGACCTAAAAGTGGAGGGCTCATCTTTGGCAGTTACCCACAGTGAAAGGTCAACACTACCCCAAAACAGAAAGAAATCTGGATGGGGTTGGCAAAGGTCATGTAAGAATGTGGTATCACGAGCTTAGTGGTTTCTTGTTGTTGAACCATATCTAAACCAATGCCTCGGAGGGGAGGAGTGGAGCACAGCCAACCAAACCAAACAAACAAAACCAGACACAGAAACCAAACCAAAACCGCAAAATACATATAAAGTATTAAAATATTCACAGTATGTGGTTTCTTTTTTGTACTTGAGATCCACATATAAAATCATTATTCATAGAATGGTTTGGGTCAGAAGGGACTTCAAAGACCATTTATTCCCAATTCCCCCCCCACACAGGCAGAGATGCCACACACTAGCCCACTTTGCTCAAAGGCCCATCCAACCTGGCCTAGAACACTGCCAGGGATGGAGCATCCACACTTTCCCTGGGTAGCCTGTGCCAGTGCCTCCCAGTTCAAGGTTCACTTTACACAGCATGAAGAATGACACAGTAAAATTGGAATCACGTCACAGATTAGTCTGTGGCTGAAGAAGCACAATAATTTAATTTAATGGTAGCATCTCAGCCTCAAAGTTTCCTCATCTGAATACAGGTATATTCTTATTCCACACATATAACTTAGTAACTGAAAGTCATCAGCCCTGATAATGGGCAATGGTACAGCTGCCAAAAATCAAGGTCTAACCTTGACCAAGATGTTTTTCTTGCGAAGTCTTTTAGCTTCAGCAGCTTTCAGCTTGCAGGGTACAGAACTTTCTGCATTGCAATGTATTATTACACAGCAATAGTGCCAACAGATCAACCATTACTGACATGATACTCCTTTATTATAGTTCTGAAATTATTAAAGATGTCTTTAATTCAAAGAGGATCTCATGAAATTGGCCTAAGAGAAGTAACAACAGCTGGCTTACAAATGCAAAAGATTTTCACCGCAAAGCAAAGTATGAACCCTGGAGAGGAAGTGTGTTATGTAGTCTATATAAGTAAGTGGGTTTCTGAAAACTCTCACTGTTATGTTTTTCTGTAACTTTGGCAGAAGAATGCTGGAAAGAAATAGTGTACATTTTGGAGCTTCCCCAGTTTTGCAAAAAATGCCTGTTTCTGCCCAAATATACCAGAATACACTTCACTCTCTTTTCCATTTGATTTCTGTAGCCCGATTGAATGCCAGAATGAGCCTGTAGAACATGCAAGAAACAGGAGACAAGTTGAAGGCAGACAAAAAGAGATTTGTCTGAGGCTTCAACTTAATAGCTTATGGCAGGCTGTGCTTCTCCTCTTTGATCAGGTTAGTGCTGCTGCTGCTATGACTTACAGCTGCAGGAAGGAACCAAATAGCCCTGGAACATTGCTTCCTAGGACTGTCATTCCGTAAAAGAAAGCCAAAGTTGAGCAACATGCTGGGCCAGCCACAGGCTCTGTTTGTGAAAGGGATATGCTACTTAATACAGCACAGTTTATAATCCAAAGCACAGTACTGAGCTGCTAAACTGCAATGGATATTATGCAGGAGAATTAATCCAGCATGAACCTACATTTTCCATTAATGTCCAAGGCACTCTGTTTTATCAAGAGGTGATTTACTGCCACCACATCTCTTCCCAGGCAGGACCTCTACCAGCCTTCTGCCCCTTGCTGCCAGTGTCCTCATCAGCTGCTTTATGAGGCTCCCACTTTTCTCTCCAGGCAACAGGGAAACTCCTGGAGTCAAATGAAAACCTATAAATGCATCATTTTTCTTGTTTACCTGCTATGTCAGATTACATTTGGCCTATCCAGCACTCAACTCCTACTGTAAGGGAGGATTCACCTCAGGTCTACACCACTAAGACCACCATAAAACAGGTCCCAGGACTATCCTTTACAGTTTATGCTGTTATTAAGGGTGATGCACATGGCTTGCTTTAAACAGGACTTCAAAATTTGACAGGGAAGAGTGTGGATATATCCAGGAAAAAGCAGGCTTCCTTGGCAAGCAGGAAAAAGCTCAGATACTCTTATTTTTTCTTCATAATTCCTTCTGATTCCTTCTGAAAGCAAGGGGAAAAAAGAACCCAAAAAGTTTCCACAACCCAATCCTGTTTCCTGAAGCTCCCAGATGGCAGTTGCTTGGGACTGGAATCTACCCATGTCTCCTCCTCTTTTGCAGCAGCAAAGCACCCTGGCTGTGCACCTGGCAACACGGGAAACAGCAACGGTGACTTGGGTCCTCTAAAACTGACCATGCAATTTTTGCATCCACAACTTTTGTAACTATGAGAACTTGTTACTATTGGAGCTGCAGGTTAAGAGCTCAAAATACAAATGAGAGAGGGCCCACTAGTGACTAGCAATTCAGGTCCCCTATCTCATCTATCTTAGCTGCATTGTGCAGCCACACAGCTATTTTGTCATTTACACTGTATCCCCACCAGGATCACACCTTAAACATTTTGAGATATGTTTATCCCTTAAACTGTTAAAATTCAACATTTTAACAAATGTTAGGGAAAAAAAACACAAAACAAAACAACAAAACAAACAACAAACTGAGAGGCTTCAAAACTCTTCCATGATACAAAGAGATGGTTGTGGGAATTCTGGATGAACAGTCACAGCATCAACCAATTTATCCAGTCTATACTGGCCATTAGCCAGTTCAACCTGAAATGGTCCAAAATAAACTAGTAGTTAGCTCAAGCGAAAAAAAAAGACCCATTTAAATGAGGTTCCCTCTGCAGACATTTTTCTATGTACACCTAGACATGAATTGTCCACAAAAGAAGCTCAAACTATTTCCAGCATTCTGAGCTATTTAAAAAACTGCTCAAAACTAAAAAACCCAAGAAACTAAGTTTAAGTAAACAGTTCTCTAGAAATTTTTTGCCTAGTTACAGTAAGCAAACCAGACATTTCCTTTCCCCACCCCCAAGATTAATATTCCAAATGCTTCACAATGAATATAATAAGAAACACTTGAAGAAGAAAGGAAGTTCATGACACTTGTCTTTTCCAAACTTACTGCTACATTGATCAACACTTAAATTGCAAACCAGGATTTTTGGAAATGAAAAAGCTCATTAGAATTAAAATATAATGCTAGAATCAGTAAACTACTTTTTTCTTCTATCTGGAAACAGTTCCACCAGTTTTAAATATATATGTACTTGGGATTATGGATCTCGAGAACTTGGGAGGCCTTAAATCCTGTGATTTTTCATGGAAAGAAAGATTATTGCCTCTGCACTTTGACACACATGGTCCTCTGTACTCTCTCCTCCACGCCAGCAGACAGCCTGCCCCTCAAGAGAATAAACTATGCTGGAGAGGAATTTGAGCTACACCCTGATAGCAATCTGATAACAAATTTGCATATTTTACTATATAGGAAGAAAATAGTGATGAATCAGGATAATAAATTTGAAAACAAAGAAATTCAATATAAGTTGAAAACATTTGGGAAACATTTGATTCATCTGAGCTTTAGTAAAAAATAAAATCTTCCAAATTAATCTCTTAAAGTTTCAGCTATTGTATGGTTAGTAGGATAACATTATGAACTAACATGTAATATATTTACTTTTAGAAAGATCCTTTTTCCACCTAGCAAATGCAAAATTGATCAAGTCAATAACAAAAAACATTCACAACCCCAATGTCTACTTTCAAACTATGTTACCTTTACAGTCAACTAGGCATACAAAGAAGATCTTCATCAAAAGTGTCCCTTATAATGCTTATTTATAAATTGCTGAAGATGATTTAGATTTTTGCCTTTCTAGGTCTATCTTCAACTCATCACAAGGGGTAGAATTATAACAAAAAACTGAGTAATATTTTTGAATTTGCTACCAGTTTCATAGGCTACTCCAACTTTCCTGAAGTGATAACTTCAGCAAAACAAATTAACTATCCATACAATGCTACTGTCCAACCACTTCCTGTCTTGTGATGATGTCTGTTGTATAAATACTGTCAAAACTCTACCTCAAAAAAAGTGTTCCTAAAATTCTTCTGCTGTCAAATTTGAATAAATAAATAAATAGAACAAGTTAAAAGCTGAAAGACAATTCCGGAGCAGACATTCCAATGACTTGCTAACAGCAGTGTGAACCCATGCTTGCACCTCTCCAAGCTTGCACTCTCCAAGCTGAGCCTCTCCAAGGCTGCCTGTCTGCAATCAGAGCTTCTTTGTCCCTGATCCAAGGCTTGGTTCCATGCCTTCCTTACAGAGATTAAAGCTGTGACCCTGCTCTGGTTAACTTTAGTGTGGAAGAGCTTGGTAGTTGCTCTAAGTTGTATTCTTAGCTACTGTGATCATGCTGTTGTCACAGAAGCAAAATAAGAGGAGGAGGAGAAGAAAAAAGCAGAGGGGAAACAAAGGAAAAAGTGTGACTCAAGCATGTTTGAGCTCCATGTTTTCTGTGACAAGGAGAAACCTATCTGGCCTCCAGGGAGGATGTTCAAGCATAGTTGTGCTATGAGCTATAATCTGGCACCTGCAGACAGCAGTACTGTCTCTCCATTCTTCTATCACACAGACAGGACAGGTACAACTGGCACCAAGTCTCTTGTCTTGGTACTCTAACATGTAAAAGCAGTTCTCCTGTTCAATGATTTCCTCAGGGACCCATTTTCCAGCTTCCTCCATATCACTACAACTTCATGGAACAAGATTATGCTTCTAGTCCCTACTGGCCACTTTATTTCTGGAGCTGCTTTTGCTCCCCCTCCCATTCACACTCCCAGCCTGCAGCCACATCCTGCTCTCACCACAGCTGAACAAGGAGAGGACAAATGCTTCCCTAAAAGCCTGTCAGCTCTCAATAACATTTTTTTACCCCCTTGAGGCAGTAGAACTATGAACAAATCTTACATCTGTAAATCTGTTAAAAAAGTAATGATTGCTCCAAAAGCAATCTACTATTTTTATGAATGAAGAAAAATAGAAGCAAACTCTCTCGAATAAAACAGCAAGGAGGAAAAGCAGTGTGCAACTTTCAGCATGTCACAGCAGCTACTTTTGCACGCCTGCCCAGACTAAAATATAAAGACAAGAAGACAGGTTTGCTCACCATTCAACAAACAATACAACCAAGTCCTCTTGATCAGCATAGCTTTCTATGCCTTCTTTCAGCAATCGAACCTTCTGCCCTCCACCAATAGAGTTAGGCAGCTCACCACCTTTCCACTCTTCACCTTTTCCAAGAACCTGGAACAAGAAAAAAGAAAAGCACTTTTTGCTAGTACCCAAAACCATGAGGCTTTTTTAAAGCAGGTCTTTATTAAAAACAGATGCTAAAGCAGAAGCAACACACTAAGGCATAGCAAGCCATCATTTCCAGCATGGTAAGTTTTCCATGTCTGAAGCAGCATTCAGCACAATGACATCACTGCAAAAACATGAGAGAGACATTTTTTAACCAAATAAGAATCGAGCAATTGCCTGCTACTGCCATTTATTTCAGTGTGCCTCCTTCAGAAAGAAAAAAGGCAAGAATTGTACCAAAATTTCTATCAGAAAAACGTTCTGAATGAGACCTTTAAAAAATCAATAGAATCACTTTAGGAACAGGAGGCTCAAGAGACTTTGGTGGATCAGGGTATAACTAATTCAAATTGCAAGCTCCAGTCTTTTTGCACAAAAAGGGAAGGACAGGTTCCCCACTATACAGCTCACTGCTAAAACTCAGATAAACAAAAAATTCCTCCCAAGCCAAGCGCTATAGCAGATTACCTGTCAAAAAAAAGAAAAAAATAAACTCTTACTGGGTTTTGAACATAATGTTTTTTGCAACATATAAAGGCTGGAAGAACTACATTGCATGATGTTTCGCACAAATCTGCAAAGCTAAGAGACGTATCCAGAGCTCAGGCTTCCCAGGTAGAAGTCAAACTTCAGAGACCCAAATAATTTCTTATTTATAGTGCAGGCACTGTGGTAAGTAAGCTGAAAAATTTCGTAACACCATATGAATTGCTGGATTTTCTCTTGGCAGAACCAATTTGTGGGGAAAGTTTAGAAGGTTGGTGCCCTCCCTTTTCCCAAGGTCACACAGAGGCCAGCCTAAGAACGTGACATACGGAGGCATGGAGCGAGGCAGAAAAGGTTGGTAAGAATTACAGAAATGCACTGTCCTCTCAGAATTAGAGGTTCCTGGAAAACACAGTGAAATTTTCAGTTGTGACCCTCCCTCCTTCCTTGCAGCAGGGATCCAGCCTTTCTTGAGGAAGGAGATCCAAGCCCTATGAGTACAGTACAGCCTCCAGAAGTATTCATGCAAACAAAATAAGCCACACTGAAAAACAAGGCTATATGATAAATCATGACAGAACCGGTGAGTGACTGAGGATGCTGACCACAAGGGCTACAAATCTGTAAAGCAGCTCCCTCCCATGATGCTTCAGAGGGGAACCAGCAGATAAGCAACAGGGAGAGCAGCAAGTGCCCTTCCTGCCCCCAAGCTCTGCAACTATTTTACTTTGTCCCGGCACACGAGAAAGCTCAGACAAGGTCAGTTACTCTTTACTGGTTCTGTTTTACAGCATGTACAGTACGAATATTTGGTACAAAACATGCAATACCTTCACTGTGTAGTTGAAGTGCTTTGCAGTTTGCATGAAACGGTGAAAGCCGTCGGTTTCTTTAGTTGCTACAGTAAAGACTAGCAGTTTATCTGAGGGAGAAAAATAAGGAACACGTATTAATTCGTTTTCAGGGCACAGTTTATAAGAAAAAATACACGGAACAGAACTGGATCAGGGGGCTTTATGACCTGCCTGTATCTCATTCAAATAGAGGAGGCAAATACACTATCATATTATAGTCTTGAAACATCACCAAACAAGAACTGCTATGGACAAGGGTGCTGTATCTAAAATTATCCTCAGGGAGAAGAAGCAAGTAAACCCATCTACTCTGTAAATAACTAGATCAAGACAAATACAAAGCTAGTATGACTACTGGACAGGAAGGAATCTTCAAAGCAAAAATAACTTACTAGTTTTCAGTCTGAGCTAATTCTGTGACCTCTTATCACAGGACTGAATGGTGCCAGAGAACTTCACCCACCCTCAGTAACTCCCCTGAAAGCCAGTGGTTCATACTCTTCATGAAAACAAGACAAAAAAACCAGTCATGGAAATCAGTCCCCCAAAGGACAGCATTTAGTGCTTTTAAGTCCTTGGGCAGAGACAAAAGCGCAGGGGTTTGCTTGGTTGGTTTTTTTATTCAGAGCCTATGCACATTATAGCAGTGGTAATTTTGCCCTCTTACTGCATGCAGGCAAATGACCATGCAACCCATTTCCTCTTCACATTCCAGAGCTTTTAACACAGTTCGAATAGGGTCACAAAATCCCACTAAACAGCTTCCCAATTAAACTACTAAATGACATTTAGAACCCTATGCATTACGCTGAATAATCAAACTATGCAATTCAAAGCTATGAGGAGGACAGGACCCCTATCCAAAATCAAGTATTTAATCAGACCAGCCAGGATGCCAGAGAACACTGCAGTTCCCCAATTCAGTCCAAGTGCAAGCAGCAGCTGCCCTCTAAGCAGAGCCCATAAGATCAATCCTACAAGAAAATAAAATCAATCGCCTACAAATAGCATTCCAGACCCAGTGCTTGTTGCTGCTTCACTTTCTCAAAAAACAACCTCTGGATATTTAGCCCAGTAATGTGCTAGAAGTGGCTACTATGGAAAACATTCCTATTAACCCTTCAGCCTTGCCCACCACCGCAGGTTTAGCAGCCTTCAGACACTCCAGACATCATCCTAAGTGTATTAAAATCATTCACCACTTGCCATTTTGTTCTATGTGACACCAGCAAAATTAACACATGAGATGATAATCCACTTCTCACTTTGTGGAAGAAATGCACCCTGCAAATTACTCATGTGATGCTCTGCAACCCCGTACCAGGATACTTCAAGTGTACCTCTGCTCAGTCAAGTAAAAATACCTGTCAGAGCACACAGTCTGTAGAGAAACATAAAACCCCTTGTAATGAAATTCAAGTCTGTCTGAACTAGCAGTCAAACTATGGAGATTAGTCTCAGGAACCGCCAGGACTGTTTCCACTGAAATAAAGCTTAGATTCAGCCCTGGTCAACAGATCACTTCCAAGAACACTCCTACCAGGCCTGGCTAGTCCATCCTCATCTGCAGCTGTAATGGTGTATGTGAGGAAGAGCAGGGATAAGATAACCACATATGATGCTTTCTCTGCCTTTTTTTTTTCTTGTCTCTAAGGGTTTTCCTGACTTTGATGGTATTTCTGTACATTCCAAAACACTCAATCTGCTTTGAGACCTTGCTCTTACTTAGTCACTCCTTGATGCAACCTTTAAGCAGTGACAACACCATGTACCCAGTACTTACAGTTTCATCTGACACTGCCCAAGTTCATCAACTGCAGACAACACTTCTACCTGCCCTCCCCACCACGCACAGTTTCATAGATTTCTCTCACATCCTGACACCACTTTTTCTTTTTCAAGTGGGAGTGGGGGAACAGGTGACAACACACAATCCTTTTCCTCAACAGTCCCAGTGACAATTTTAACTGCTGGTTCTACTGAACCAGACTGACACTCCTGCAATACAATGCATAGCAAAGAAGAAACTGGAAATAAATACTTTAAATGCTTCAGTCAATTCGAACATCCAAAAATTTGGGTAAGACAGATTTGGAAGACAAATTGCTCCATCTTTATCCCATTTAAGTGTTAGTAGCCTTTTGTAGGCAAGAATCAGAAGAAAATCCCACAAGTACATCTCAAAAGGACAGGAGGACATCCACAGAGGATTCCAATGCAAGGCGTTCACAGACATACTGACTCACAGAGAGACACAAACACAGCAATTATGGTTCAATACCTTCAAAATCATTTATTCTAAAGGTCATGCAATTTAAAGTAATTCTACAGAAGGCACCACAGAAAGAATAAAGAACATGATATCTTAGATTATGACTAAAACAGAACAGAAGACAGAGGATAGGGTTTTCCTCTATGGAACAGATTAAATTATGACTTTTTTTTGTTGTTCAAGCACTACATTTTCAAATTACAGGGAACTGGAAAAATCTGATCATACCAGACTGCATTACTAAGCCAAGAGAATCCATTATTAAAAGTTTCCTAGGTGACCAGTCAAGCACTGACTAGAACTATGGAATTTGGTTTGGAGTGGGCATATTTCACACCTACACCTTCCTGAGGAATGCTAGCAACAAGGATTTCAAAGATCTGTACTTGACAACATCATGTAAATTACAAAATGTGGGCTGTACCAGATTCCCTCCATAGTCACTAAGTCAAAAAAAGTATTAAAGTAACATACAAGTACAGTTTGGCAAGCAAAAAATAATCTACTGTCCTTTATGGGATATTGTTACTCTCTCTTAATGGAATACACATTATTCATGTATTTCAAGAATCACTATGGGGCCTGGTATGTTACTTGACTTTTGTGGAACAGGAGGAAAGAGAACAATGTGCCAAAGCATAAGGGATTTCAACCTGAGCTATATAAAAAGAAGAAAGCTGAGCAGACAAATAATGCAGTTTATATTGACATGAAAAAGAACCTGTATTGCACTGGCAGCCAATGAAGAAATCTAAGTAGGCTGTCTGAGTCAGGTTTGCAAACAAACACAGTACAAAAGAAAGCTATTTTTAAAGTTATTATTCATGTTGAAAATGTTTTTCTTTTTAACATACTCGCCTATGGTCAATTTTTTTAAATTACAGATTAAAAGGTTTAGAAGACTTTATTTTCATGTCTTTGTTGCACCACTGACTTTTAGATGCATGTGGTACTTAAATAATTTTTAAGTGCAGCAGAAGTGTAATTATAGGATTTAAAGTCCCTTTAGAATTAGAGATTCTTTATAGATTACTTAGGTTTCGTTGTTTTGTGGGGTTTTTTTGTTTGCATTTGTTTAGTTTGTGGTGGTTTGTTTGGGTTTTTTGAAGTAAGCTGTGTCTGACCAAAGTGCAGAGAAACATGTTTTTATTCTATATATAGTGTGTATGGAGAGACAATGCAAAGTGCATTAAATGAGAGTTACCTTGGCACAATATAGAGGGTATTATTATCAAATGAGGAAAGCAGAACTATTTTCCTCTAGCTAATAAAAATCATTAATCTAATTCCTGTAGGCTGCTGTGATTTTATTTAGATTTAAGTGACAACTTGTACAGCTTCACTGGCAGACTTCTACTAAACATAGCATGGGAGACACTTGTTTCTTCCAGTGGAAGTGAGTGAAGAGAATGCTTCTGACCACTGAATACTTCTGGTAATTTCTTTTTAACCTTTTAACTGCATTCAGTTTGAAAAATCTATTCCTTGCTCACTACATTTAGGTCCAACAACCTCTTAGAACACTTGTCCCATTTGTGTTTAGCAACATGAATCCAAAATGACTTTCATGATGGCACAGGAGCGTCAAAGTGCAAGTACAACACTCCCAAGGGAGTGAGTTTATCCAAGCGCTGTTTCCATTTCAGGATGTGCTGAGCTACAAGTATTTCAGCTGCAGCCACCCGCAGTGTCCCTGCTGTGCAGAGCAGGTTTGGCCCCACGACAAGCCCTGTCAGTGCAGAGGTTCAGGGCTGTACCAGAGCCCTCCCACACAGAGGTTGAGTGACCAGCCCAGTGTCCCCAGCAGCATCACTGTACCAGCTCCAGGGCTCCAATAGGGTGCAATGAAGACCAGGTGTAGCAGTGGAAAGATGCCTGCAATTACACAGACCCCAGGCTACTACTGTGGCCTGGAACTCCCCAGTGAGAGTGCCACAAAAAACCCACAAGGATTTCTAGCTGCAGCTAGTTCCTGCTTCACCATCCACTTTGCACAAACCCCTGCCCTCCACTGAGGTGTTCACCCTAAAGGAGCTCTGCTGTGTGGTCTTACATATAGGCTGGAGCTCTACAGTTTAAATCTGACTACCCCCTACACACAAGGGGATGAATATACACTCTCAGTAATATCTTCCCACAGTAACAGCATCCCCAAAGTGCAAACACATATGAAAACAAGAACACAGCAGGTGGTCACATTCCTCCCCACTCACATTCCTCTGAACTGGGATGCCACAGAGGGTACAGGCTGCCTGGAAGGGCTGGGCTACCCCAGCACACAGGCTGCCAGAGGCATCTTGGCAGTCACTGGAGGGGATTACCAAGCTTGGTATTTATTTCCACAAGTCAAGTCAGTTTGTGTAAAAAGGAAATGCAAACCCTATACTGAAGTTCAACAGGAAGGCATGAAAAAAAATCTCCTCAGAGCTCCATGCCCGGTATGAGGGTGCTTAAGTTACTAGAATGCAATTTTTTTCGGGCAGATTTCCAATAGTTACACCCACAAAACAGCTGTTCTGTTTTGAAAACAAGCCTGAGAGAGCATGTGTTTGGCCAAGGAAAGTATATCCAGTGACATACAGAATTCATTTTTATATGCAAATTCAGAAACCCTTCAGCACAGACACCACCACATATAGAGCACATGTAGTGCATTAGGAAATCCAGTGAAGGTTTATCAAAACATCTGACTCTTCTACCCATTTTTTGTGCTGCTATCTTCAGGGACCTGGCTGCATCAGAAATATTTATTTCCAGAAATAAGAACAATAAGCCAGAGCCTTTGTCTTCAGTGAA